ACCTACCTACCTACCATACATACATATATACATAAATACATACATGTACATCATTACACATGTTCTGCACGTACCGAGTCATTTTGCACATTATAATTATATATATATATATATATATACAGTGTATATATATATATATATATGCGTGTGTATCTACACGCGCCAACAATATGTTACATACACGCACACACAGCCTCATGTAGACATGCTTCGCCTCTGTACGTGCAGGCCGACCAGACTACTTTCGGCGCCTGAGTACGAAGAATCAATATTCCTGCTGGGTTCCCTAGCGCCTTTCTACTACCTGACCCTAAACCCTATAGAACCCTACGCCCTAAACCCTAAACCCTTGAACCCTAAGCCCTAAACCCTAGAACCCTACAACCCTTAAGCCCTACACCCCAAAACCCAAAGCCCGGCCCTAAACCCTGAATCCTAACCCCTGGAGCCCTTTGCACCCGCCCCAAACCCTAAACCCGAGGAAGCCCCTTATGGCCTGGGCAAAGAGTTCCTCCAAGGCGCGATCTGCGGAGATCCGGCTGCCTTGGAACGCGCGGGTTTGGGGTGTAGGGTTCAGGGATGCCTGTATAGGGGTTTAGACGGCATTTAGGGGGGTGAGGGGCCAGGAGTTAAAGGGTTTATTCGAGGGTTGGGGATTCAGCGACTTTAGTTTTCGAGTTCATGTTCAAGGGTTTAGAGGTTACCTCAGGGCTTTTCGCTTGTAGTTCCTTCTGTCTCGGGCATCTCGTGCAGGTAGGACGCAAGACTAACTCAAAACCAACATGGACTTAGCGGTCGTGCCACATCAAATCCTTTCAGGCCTACAGTACATTGCCCCCAGGAGCCCAGTTGCCCCTTTCGCGGGGAACTGTCCCTTGAAGCCTAGATAGCCCTAGAATACCCAGAACCCAGTAAGCGACATTGTTGGGCCTCAGCAGTTCAACGAGGGTCTCGGCTGCATGATATAGCCTGTATATGTACAATGTAGCATCTTTGTACACGGAGACGATAAGGGGATACCCCCCAAAGAGCATTCGCACCTCTATTGCGAAACCTTGCCTGGCCTGCCGGGGCTGTGAGTCGGCTTTGGTAGAGGGCTTCCTGAGGATTAGGAGCACAGGGTTGAAGAGGAAGAGGCCTGAATAAATTAGAACGGGGTTCTGGGGGTGTATTTGATGATGTTACAAACATACGTACCCCAAGGAAGAGTATTTCAGTTGTATTTATATGTCCTGACCCTAAAACCCTAAACCTTACATCTGGGTTGCGCATGAACCGAAACGCCGCAGCTTAGCTCCTTGGTGATTTTCAAGGATCGGATTGGGAGCGCTGTAAGGGTCTAATTTAGAGTTTGGGGTTTAGGGTTTAGGGATAGTATAGTCCTGCCTTTACTCTACTAGAGTAAGCAAAATTCATACAGTTTAGCCCCTAGATATCTCCACCCTAAACCCTAAAGCCTATCCCAGTGATTCATGTGCAGTATGCCGGGAGTCTACCGACTTTGCGGCTCGACTTGATGGGCAACCTTGAACCCGTCAATGAGGTTCAGGGTTTTAGGGTTTTTAGGGTAGTGTAGGGCTTAGGGTTTAGGGGTACGTGTGCAAGGCTTTAGTTTTCGGGTTCGGGGAGGCCGGCAAACGGCTTAGCACACTCTCATAAAGGCAGCAGGGGAGGGGGGTTATGCATGCGAACATCATATTCAGGTGCTCCATGGAATGGCATTAGGAACTGGTCAGGCTTCTAATCCGTAAACCCTAAACCCTATTCATAGCAAGGCGCAAAACATCAGCAGCAGAAACGAAGGGATCCTCAAGAAATGACTCAAAGCTACACCTGGTACAGCCGCGAAAGCCCTAAACCCTAGTCCGCTTTTAGGGTCTAGGGCTATCCTGCTCCCTGAAAACTAAAACCCATTTCCAAGCGTAGTCCCTCACAAATTTTCGGAGGCATACACTAGCCCAGGAGTGCACTAGATACATCCTGTTTCATGATGATGATCCTCCACCGTAAACCTGAAACCCTAAACCCTAATCCCCCCAAGCCCAAAACCCTCAACCCTAATCCCCCTCAGCCCAAAACCCTAAAGCCTGTGCCCCGAACCTGGCAAATCTCTGAGGGTGTGGCGTCCATCCTCTTCCTCAGGTTCATCTCCTGTGGGCTCCTTCCGGATCTGGCTTCTGGTGTTTAGGGGTTTAGGGTTTAGGGTTTAGGGTTTAGGGGTTTAGGGTTTAGGGTTTAGGGGCTTTCGGGCTTACGGATTCAGGGGTTTTCAAGGCTTTAGGGTTTAGGGTTTAGGGTTTGGGGTTTAGGGGCTTGGGGTTTAGAGTTTTGGGTTTAGGGTTGTGGGTTGTGGGCTTCAGTTTCGGGCCTTTCCGTGGGTTCTGAGGGTGTTAGAGTTTAGGGTGTAGGGGCTTTGGGTTTCGGTTTCCGGTTTAGGGTTTAGGGGCTTTGGGTTTCGGTTTAGGGTTTAGGGGCTTTGGGTTGCACCTTGACATGGCGAGAAGATGGGAGTTTCAGGAATATGGAATCCGACCTAGAGTCTCCATTGTAGTACCTTTTTGGGGGTTTAGCCTGTTCCATATTGCGGAGCCTCAAAAGTAACCGCAAAAAGGAACTGCGATGGAGACTCTAGGTAACGCAGTCCCTAAATAGCCGGATCCTTAATATACAGAACCCTTAACGGATCCAATATTGACAACCCCCAAAACGGTGTGCGACAATCCCGGTTCCCAAGCTCCTGCAACGTTCTTATTCTTCTGTCGGTCGCATCTCCACGACACGCTTACAAACCGCCCCCAAACCCAACCCCCTGAACCCCTAAACCCGCCACCCTAAACCCCTAAACCTTCCACCCTAAACCCCTGAACCCCTAAACCCTAAACCCCGAAACGCTCCTCCCTAAACCCAGACAAATGCGTGCATCCAGAACTCAGGCAGAGGCTGCTCCCAAACTTTCAGGAAGGTTTAGGGTTTAGGGCTTGCCTCACAAACCGCCTACGACTCACTCTTCAGGCTCTCCCAATGCATTGCTGGAGATGCCCTTACAGGTCGCCACTTAACCCCAGCACCGTCAGGCGATCACAAAACATGCCCAGTGCGGCAATTTTGGAAGTCCTAAGCTCAAAGCCCAAAGCCCTGAGAGCAGTCCAGGATAGACAGGAGCACTTTTACCGATCCGGAAGCAAAGCCGTTGACCTGCGAAGGGAGCTTCGCTCAATCCGCTAAGGCGTAGGGTTTAGGGGCTAAGAGGGGGCCTTCAAATCTAAACCCTAAACCCTGAACCCTAAACCCTAAACCCTAAACCCTAAACCCTAAACCGTAAACCCTAACCCTAAACCCTAAACCCTAAACCCTAAATCATCAAAACAGAGTCTTAAGGTATATTCTTCACATATACTAAGAAACTCATGCCTCGGCCCTCAATTCACCCGTCCGACCTCAAGTAACATCCTAATCACCTAAGCCTCCAAGGTTCAGAGCTAAATCCTGAACCGTCAAAGGAATCCTTAAAGGAACCCTGCCCCAGGTAGAGCAAAGACAGACCCGAAACTCTAAACACTAAAACCCTAAACCCTAAACCCTAAACCCTAAACCCTAAACCCTAAAACCCTAAAACCCTAAAACCTAAACCCTGAACACGCATGGAAGCTTTGACCAGAAACTCCACACCTCCTCGAAGTAAGGGATCCATAAGGAGGGACTCTCAAAAATGGCCCTAAGTCCCTAACCCTGAAACCCTACTTAAACCCTAGATCCCACACCCCCTAAACCCTAAACCTTAAGCCCCTAAATCCTAAACCCCTCAACCCAAAACCCTGAGCCCCTGAATCCTAAACCCCTCAACCCAAAACCCTGAGCCCCTGAATCCTAAACCCCTCAACCCTAAACCCTAGACTTGATGTGTGAGTCTTCGGGTCGCTTCTTGGCTACAGGCTCCGCCGGCGGAGCATCGTGCATAGGACGGTTAAGGTGTAGGGCTTTTGGGGTTTAGGGTTTGAAGTTTAGGGATTAGGGTTCAGGGATGTTCAAGTTCTTTATTGAACCGTCTTTTCCATCAGCTAGCCGCGTCCAGAATTCCTGCTAGATGTTCAGGGTCTATAGTTTAGGATGTTTACGTTTCAGGTTTCGAGTTAAGGCATTAAGGCGTACGTTGGGTTTGCTGGATGTTGAGTTAGACCGAAAAATCTGACTTGACGACGTAGGCAGGCAGGGGTTGCGGATCAGGATTGAGGATGCCCTTTGCACCACATTCCAATGTAAGCGCCTTAATAATTAGAATGGGGTTTGGGGTCCGTTATA